CGAGGGTTCGGGTCCCACATGCAGACTGGTTCCCACTCACTGGCTGAGCGAGGCACGGGAGCAACACCGAGGGTTGCGATCCCGTTGCCGGTCCCTGGTCCGGTACGGGGGCAACACTGAGGGTTGCGATCCGTTGCCGGACATGGAAAAAGACAAAAAGACAAAAAAAAAAAAAAATGTTTTGGAAGTTGATAGAGGTAGCGACTGGGTGATGAACTAAATGCCAATGAATTGTACACTTTAAAATAGTTAATGTTATGTGAGCTTCACCTCAATAAAAAGTAAGTCAGGACATCCAAATGGTCAATAAACATATGAAAAAGTGATCCACTTAATAATCAGGAAAATGTAAATTAAGGCTATAATATGTACCCATTAGAAATGCTGAAATTAAGCCCAGTTATAAGATCAAGTGCTGGTGAGGATAGGAAGAAATGGGGGCTCTCATTGCTTGGTGGCCGTGTATATCTGTACAGCCATTTGGAAGACATGCTGGTGTTGTCTGCTCAGCTGGGGGGTATGCACACCCTGTGACTCAGCATTCCATTCCCAGGTAGAGACCCAACAGAAATCAGTGGACAGAAGCACCAAGAGACATGTGCAAGAACGTTCAGAGCCTCACTATTACATTAGCCCAAACTGGAAGCAACCCAAACATGGTTGGAGAAAAATGGATAAATGATATATGGTGTATTAACACAATGGGATATTACACAGCAATGGAAATGAACCATAGCTACATACAACAGCATGAATAAATCTCAAAAACTTAATATTCCGTGAAGGAACCAGATACCAAAGGGTATATCCTGTGTGTAAAAAGTTCACAATCAAGTAAAACAGAACATCAGAATTTGGGGCTACGTACTTAGGTAGTAAAGTTATTTTTAAAAGGCAAGGAATTGATGACTGTAAAAGTCAAGGTGATGGTTACCTCTGAGAGGAGGGAGGGAAAGTCACAGAAAAGGGCACAAGGGGCCATGTGGGAGACACCCCACTGACGAGTGTCTCTTTAAACAGAATGGTGTAGGAGGATGGAGTTGGCTGTGCACAGGACAGGCTGGGTGTCAGACAAGAAGAGCTCCAGGAAAAATCGCATTACAATTGTCTGTGACCCTGTCTTTCTGCCTGTGGATGGAGAGCCCTTAGGCATATTTGTCAGCATGAGGGCTGGCACAGAGTCAGTGTTCGGTATATATCTGTTGAACTAAACTACATGGAATACTTAAACCTAAACTAGATCAATGTTTTTTTGTTTCCCAATATTTTAAACTACAAAGACTACAGAGACGAGTGAATCCTGCCTCCCTGTCTTATAGATGGGAAAACTGAGGCTCAGAATGAGAAAAGTGACTCATCTAAGTTCATAGAGAAAGTCAGTAATGAAACCCAGGTTTCTCCATGCTTGAAATTTTGTTTTTTGCCTTTTTTTTTTCTTGGATACCAGGCATCTTACAAAGACCCACTTTTCAACAGATCCATTATCTGCAAATTGCCATACACCAGTGTTCCACCCCTGCCTGAGGAGCCTTGCCCTGGGCTTACAATGGCATTCAGGGATGGTAGGGACAGGAGAGCTGGAGGCCTGGAGGTCCAGGTGGGCTTGGCTTTCCAGCTGGATCTTACAATCCGTTTGCACAGAGAAACAGAGCATTATAAAACTGGCAGCTTTTGAGTGGCAAGCTGTGTGTCCTCTCCATATCAGGCAACTAAGAACTCCACCAGGAAGCCCCAGCAGATCTGGAGCCTACATGCTCTGGGAAGATGCATTCTTTTGTTTTTATAAATAGCTTTACTGAGGTATATAGTTTACATTCCATAAAATTCACCCATTTTAAGTGTACAGTTAGATGAGTTTTAGTCAATTTATATAGTGGTGCAAACACCACCACAATCCAGTTCTAGAACACTCCCCCAAAAGCTCCCTCCTGCCCATTTGCAGTCAACCCCTTCTTCTATCCCTGGACCAGGCAGCTGCTGATCTGTTTCCTGTCTCTGTAGTTTTGTCTTTTTAGTAACTTTGTATAAGTGGACTCTTACAATATATAGTTTTTTATGTCTGGCTTCTTTCATTTAGCTCAATGGTTTTAAGGATTATCCCTGTTGTAGCATGTATCTGTACTTCATTCCTTTTTATTGCTGAGTAGTATTCTGTTGAATGGACATATCACATTTTGTTTATCTATTCACCAGCTGATGAATCAGTCTGTTTCCATTTTTGGCCATTAGGAATAATGCTGCTATGAACATTCACATATGAGTTTTTAGGTGAACATATGCTTTTCTTTCACTTGAGTAGATACCTAGAAGTGGAATCACGGGGTTGTAAGGTAAGTATATATTTAACTTTTTAAGAAACTGGCAAACTGTTGGGAAAATGCATAAGCTCCTAACGACCCACTTACACACGTGCTTTCAGAAACCACCCTGCTTGAGTATATAGCACAGAGGTTGAGAGCACACATTCTGGAGTCAGACCCTCTAGGCCCAACTTGTACTTCTGCCACTAAAGACTACATGTCCTTGGACAAATGACTTTGATTTTGTGCCTTAGTTTCCTCATTTGTAAAAAGGAATAATAAATGAGGTTGTTGTGAAGATTTGAGTGAGTTAACTCACACAAAGCACTTAGAACACGTCTGGCTCATATGAGCATTAGTACTATAAAGTCTCAGGATTTTTTTTACACCCAGTTGAGCAGATGCCCGATGGGAGAAACAGTGCCAGTCTTGGAGTCCACAGATGTGAGAGGGCTGTCATAAATCTATCCCATTACAACTGTGTGGCCTTGAGCAAATTGCATGCTGTCTCTGAGCCTCCTCTGCAAGATACAGCCCAGTTTACCTCCCAGCACTGCTGGGTGGTGGATCCAGTAACTTGGTATAGGGTAAGTGCTTTGTAGACTGCACAATGGCACACAGACACAATGGACTCATGTTACAATTGTTGCACGCCAATGATGGGGTTTATTGGAAACTGTGGGGCCCCCAATACCCTCTTCATCCATGAAGATCCTATAACTTAATACTTGGATGGCTAAGAGTAAGGACTCTGGAGTCAGACTACCTGGTTCAAACCCTACTCCAGCCACTTAAAAGGCTTGTGACTTTGGACCTCAGTTTTCTCATCTGAAAAACAGAGATAATAACAGTCCTCAGTCCCACTTCTTGCAGTGATTCTGAGGACTGGATGAATGAAATATGAACATGTTCACACCTCCACCTGAACATAGAAAGTGTTTCATATGTATCAGCCACATTAAATCGCATGCAAAACTTGATTTGCAGGAGAATAGTTCACATTTCTAGGGATTCTCTTCAGATTCCTAAAGGGGTACTGAATGCCCATCAGTTGCAAATGGCTCTCCCTGGGCCCTGCTTGGCTTCTGAGGGGTTCCTGGTCCTCCCTTTTTATGTTATGGATGGGAACAGGACTTCCTCTGTGTTAGAAACAACAGCACTGAGCTGACATCGAGGGATCCAGGCTACAAACACCGGAGGAGAAAGAAACACCAGGTTTCTTTCCCTGGACCACTCTTCCCTTTGGGAAGTGGGAGTTGCAGCAACGTTCACATAAGACCATGGAACCGAAAGCTGTTCTCTGCTGCTGAGTCAGCAGTGCCCTATGTCACATGCAAAATTGCAATGTTAGGACATGGGCCATGGTGCCAAGAAGCTAAAACTATGCTCCCTTTTATCTGCAAGAAATGCCAGGCTGGACACTCTGGCAGGAAAAGCTGTCATCACATTTGGGTCTTGCTCCTAAGGAGATGATGGTCTGGGCTGTCCCAGGCTTCTTTGGGCACACAGTTTCCCAAGGCCACCCACTCAATCCCCAGTTTCCTTCAGGGGACCAGAAGTTGTTTCCCAGTTTTCCCACTCCCTTATTTGATTGAAGCTGTGTACTAATCCCCTAAATCCAAAAGGGGTCAGAAACTACTATGTGGAAAGCATAGTTCTCCTACAAACTGCTTAAGGAAAGGGGTGGGCAAGGATAGGAGCCTAGAGGCCTGTGTTCAAGTTCTGACTTTCAGACCTGCCACTTCCTAAGCTTCTCTTAAACTTGGTGTTCTCTTCCATAAAAATGCCTGCATTGCTTTCCAGTACATAGCTATTGCACGGATCAAGCAGTCATTTCTATCACTTATTTTGTGCTTAGTATGTGCCAGGAGCATGGAGAGCACATTATTTTGAATCTCTAATTTTCAAAGCATCCTTAGGAGGTAAGGAGGTCTAATTATTCTCCTTTTTCAGATGAGGAAACTGGGGCACAGAGAGGTGAATCTGTTACCGAAAGTCATCTAGCAGAGCCACAGTTCAAACCCTGGCAGCCTGACCTTAACGGAGACCCATTTTAACTCAGGCCCCACTATTCATCCAACCACCTTTGCGTCCTGGTGGGGAAACTGAGGCCCAGGGAACAGAGAGGACTAGATCCCTCCGCTTCCAGCCCACAGCTCTTCCCATCACCCATGCAGCCACTGCCCACAATAGATATGACCTCCCAGGTATCTCAGAGCTAAGCTGAGCGTCGGAGCGATTCAATTCCGTCATTTCTTGCACTGCAGAGGTGCCAGGTGTCCCTGCTGGTGATCGTGCTTCCGCACATGTGTATGGAGAGGGCACCAGAACTGCCCTTAGGATGAGCCAGCTAGCGCGCACGACCTGAGCGCGGGCGCTGGGTGCGCTGAGGATAACTGTCGCTGCTGGCGCTGTCACTGTGCTTCCAAAGTCCCTCTCTGCTTAAGACTGGAGAGGCCGCGCCCAGCTCAGACACCTCAGGTGCCCAGACAAGGCTCCACCCGCCCGGGGAGCCCAGGACCCCCATTCGCGGTTAGAAGCCCTGCGCTGCCCTGAGGAAGATGCCGGCAGGGCAGCCAGTGCGCACGGAGTGGCAAGGACTCCCTTTTATGTCCAGGAATGAGGCGCGCACCGCAGCCGCGCCCGCCGCCAAAACCAACTTCCCCAAGGCGCGCAGGCAGTCGGTGCCAGGTCACTTACCTGCCGCGGCGCGGGTCCGGGTGACAGCGAGGAGGAGCGTGGAGACCGAGAGCAGCCACAGCAGGCGCCAGCACCGCCCGTACCTTCTGCAAAAAGTGGCCAAGGGACAGAAGTTGAGGCGGGCGGGAGGGTCGGAGCGGCCGGGGTGCTGGGAAGCGGGTCCTACCTTGGCTCCATCTCGCGGGTCCGCGGAGCCCCCGAAGGCGCGCGGCGAGCCGAGCAGAGCGGCCGAGCTCCGCGGGGGACGAG